AATACCACCCACCCCAGATCTCATTGGGGGATGCTAACAGCTCTGCAAGAGCTTTTGATAAAATGAGCTTGCAGTAGGTCGGCGTGACCTCCATCAGCCTGACTCATTTGCAGAGCCTGATAAAAGTGCTGCTGCATTTTCAGGCCGGTATGGAAGCACAAGTGTGGATAGAAAGAACATTACAACTGACTGGGAAGCGCAGAAGCCGAAGGTCCGTACCTGTGCTCCCATTTCAATAATAACGCTTTCTCTGAGAATGTAATTCCTCTCTGTTTGCCTCTGTTTCGGTCAAGCCAAATGCAGTGGAACGGCCTCACTTCCCTACTTCTTCCAGGTGATCTTTTGCCGAGGCAAAGCCTGCCTTGAAGGCCTGTAATTCACTGCTTGAAATCGCTGCGAGAGCTTACCTTGCAAAACAGCATTAGCTGGGTACTTGACAGGAGGGGGGCGAGGGGAAAAGCACGTCGTGCTTTTTGAGAGTAAAACTTACTTGAAAACGAACTACCTTCCAGTTGTTCAAACCGACACTGAGCACTTCATGAAAATGCAGCTTCTGGACCGTACCGCGCTCTGCATATAGGTAATTTCTAGCAGATCAGGAGCAGTGAGCCCTTCCCACATTGTGGCATTACAGAGAAGATTTTCAGACTGCCAGTAACCCGGATACTGTAATGAGGAGCAATATTTGCATTTGTGGTTGCTTTTGGCACAGTTGGCGGTTCACACGTTCGCAATCCTTCCCATAATATCTGTAAATACGACATCCTGTTTAATTGAAGCTGTCGTGTTTTACCCAGTAACTCTGACAAGGTAGGGAATGTCTGCCCTGCCACACAAACGACCTGAAGGCCGGACGCTTGTCTTTCAGCAGCAGCCTCTCCTTTAGGAATGCCCTAAAGGGAAATTTCCAACGCTTTTTTTTTCAGTGTCTTTACTTTAGCTTTAATTTAAACGTGGCCCTGGCTGTTTCGCAGGTGCTTGTGCATCAAACACTAGGTGTCTGATAGGAGGTGGTATTTCTGATCAGTCAATTAATTGCTACGTGGCAAAGGATTCCTTGCTTAAAGGAAAGAACGTGCTGCCACAGAAACACCTACGTCTGTGCTTGCAGGACCTCACAAATATTATCGAACAGATTATGATTCAATGCAAATCACTTGTTATAACGGCACGTTAGATTGAGTAAAAAGGTAGATCCTATTAGCAAAAAGTCAGTCTCATTTTTTTGGCTCCATTCCAGGAAGTCACTGTTCAGGTTGCAGACACTGTTAAAATCCAAAGTGTTTTTTCTGACTTTTTCAATAAGAGAAGATCTTTCTATTAGTTGTAAGGCCCTGCTGCTGCAGGGACTTGCTGTTGTCTCATGGGAGCAGAGCAGGAGCTTATTGCAAAGCTGAAGGCAGGTTTTATAAATAACATCTTAGCCCAAAAATACAGTATTCTACCACAGTGGTCCAAAAGACAAAAATATTCCTACCTTGGCTGTGCATGAGTGCCAGTGTCCAGGTTTACTGTAACAGTGGTGTCTGTTGGGTTTTTTTTCTTTAAAGGTTATGGCAATAAAAGCGGGGAATCGAAAAGTTCTGAATAAGTTAATTGGCCTGGTGCAAAGAGAAACACAAGGACGTTCCAACCCTGTTCTGGTGAAGCAATTACTAGAGAAGAAGCTGTCAGAGTAGCCACAAGAGAAAACTGCCCGAGTGTCCACAGAAAACACACGCTTCATTCTGCCTGGTTCAGTGCAGCTGAACTTCAGTGCCTCCCCCGGATTCCTGGTTATACTTCAAGCAGCATCACGTCCAAGCCCTCCCCGGATGCATCAGCCAGGGGTGGATGAGCCAGAGAACAGCAGGAGGTGATACAGGTACTCGCATCTCCCTCGCTTTGGTGGGGCATTTTGGAAACGTGACTCCCACCCAGCCACGGGGAACGGGTTCCCCGGGGTTTGTGTGAGTACGCAGAGGGCTGGCTCTAATAAAGCACGGGTAAACTCAGCTTCTCCAGCTGCCTTTTTGGGGGGACGGCAAACGCACAGATCTTGGATGCAAGATCTGGGGGGTGCACACCAACGGCTCCCTGTCCGTTAGCGTGAGCACACCAGTGACCGTGATTAAAACACCCAGCAGTAATTGAGACAAACCCCCTGTGCTTCTGTGCCTGGCAAAAGGGGGGGAAAAAAAAAAAAAGCCCGCTGCTCCTGGTGCCCGAGGGCGGGGGAGAGGAGCAGCCCCCCTGAGGCTCCTGCCACCAACAGCGGGAGGCACCGGCACCCCAGAGCCAGCGCCGCGCTCTGCGCCCGCTCGCAGCTCTGGCGCTGGGTGCTGCAGCACCCGCCGGGGCTCTGCCCAGGGCAAGCACTGCCTTCTGCCTCTCTCTCAGCCACCAGCTCAGGAGAGGGACCTCCTGCTCCAGTTTGTTCTCTCAGCGGGGTGAGAACTTGACCCGGCGGGGTCAGACGTGCCCGGAGCCCGGGGCTGGGGCTTCCTGCCTGCACCGGGACCTGCTCCGTGCTGTGGCAGGAACTGACCGTGCAGCTGCCTTACCAAAACTGAGCTCAGTATCATCCTGAAGAGTGTTTTATACCGTGGCTTGGGTTTTTGTTTTTTTTTTTTTTCTTTTTATGCCTTCCCTTTTTCAGCTCCAGCTTGAAGTATCCCCTGAAATCCAGGGTTAACTTCCCAGTCCCAACCCACTTCGGCTGATCAAGCCCTTAACAGAGGCAGCCTATCACACTTAGGTTTATTAGGGAAAGAAATCCCATTTAGTACCAGGGGTTTGAAGTTCTTAAATCCCTTCTGGAGGTTGCTAAGCTGTACATTTTAAAGATCACATTTCTCTCAGACCCCAGAGATACTTCTTCAGAATTGTTCTTTAGGATGTGCCTGCAGGGCAGACATTGTCACAGGCACAGCAGGTACGGCCCTGGGAATTCAGTCACCTTTTGCAAATGTGGTGCTCGCAGCACTCGTTCAAACTAGGTTGATGGCAGTTCATTCTCATGAGTAAGAGTGCTAATGTATGTCTTGAGGAGGACATTTCTGTAGGAACTGGCTCACGGTCCAAGTGTGAACTCTTAATTAGAAGGAAAAAAAAAAAACAACCCTCCTTTTCAAATCGTATTTAATGAATAAAATGTATACCCATTATTCACATAAAAATAACTTCATAATTCAAAAGTCATGCAGCTGACAAAAAGCAGTAACATGGTTGCAATCAAAAACTACTTCCCTTCAAAAAACCCGAACCCAAACCTCCAAAGCCTCCCCCAAAGCCTAAACCAGCCCCCCCAAGATTTTCACGTAACCTGACCTTCACACAGAGGCTTTTGTCACTTTTCACATCATGAGCAAAACGTACCCTTCTTACTGACACCGGTGTGAATTTTCAGGTAAGTGTTCAGTCAATAAAGGTTTAGATTTTACAGCAAACTTTAAATTTTGGATTCTGTTCAACTCTTGCCATGGCAGCAAGAAAGAAAAAGGCACAAGGGATTCTGCATGCAATCTTGAATCTTAATTTTTAAAGGTACTTCCTCAGTTTGGTGAAACTCAGTTGTTTCCAAAAGGTGGTCCTGGAAGGTTGATGCTGCTGTGCTGAGTTTCCCCACTGCTGTTGTGGGCGCCTCTCAAAAAAGAGAAAGCGGAACACCCATGTGTTTGGAAGAGTCTGTATTTAAAAGGAGGAAGGATCTCCACTACTGTAGCATGGCTACTGTTGGTAAATGGTTTTTTTAATGGCTCCTTCTTAGCCACTCTTCCTATGTAGTTACATTTTGCTAATACAGTACAAAATCTGTTTAAAAATCAGAAACCAAGCTCTGTATGAGTTGAGTCCACGAGTGCAGCATTAGATCTTTAAATGGATAAGGGAGGAGCAACTGACATTGTCTACTTGGACTTGGGCAAAGCATTTGACATCATCCCGCATGACGTCCCTGTCTCTGAACTGGAGCGACCTGGGTTTGACAGCTGGACCACTCGGTGGGTAAAGAACTGGCTGGGTGGCTGCACTCGAAGAGTTGAGATCACCAGCTCCACGTCTGAGCAGAGAGCAGTGCCGAGCGGCGTTCCGCAGGGGTCGGTGTTGGGACTGGTGCTGTTTCACATCTTTGTCAGCGACACGGACAGCGGGACGGAGCGCTCCCTCAGCCAGTTTGCCGACGAGCCCGAGCTGTGCGGTGCGGCCGACAGGCGGGAGGGCAGGGATGGCATCCAGAGGGGCCGGGACAGGCTGGAGAGGGGGGGCTGTGCGAACCTCATGGAGTTCAACAAGGCCAAGGGCGAGGTCCTGCCCGGGGGTGGGGGCAATCCCCAGCACAAATCCAGGCTGGGAGAGGGGTGGGTGGAGAGCAGCCCCGAGGAGAAGGGACTTGGGGGTGTTGGTCAGTGGAAAACTGACTGTGAGCCAGCAATGTGCGCTCGCAGCCCAGAACCCACCCGTGTCCTGGGCTGCATCAAGAGCAGCGTGGGCAGCAGGGCCAGGGAGGGGGTTCTCCCCCTCTGCTCTGCTCTCAGGAGACCCCCCTGCAGTGCTGGGGCCAGCTCTGGGGCCCCCAACAGCAGAAAGACATGGAGCTGCTCGAGTGGGTCCAGAGGAGGGACACAAAGATGCTCAGGGGGCTGGAGCAGCTCCGCTGGGAGGCCGGGCTGAGAGAGTTGGGGGGGTTCAGCCTGGAGAAGAGAAGGCTCCGGGGAGATATTAGAGTGGCCTTCCAGTACCTAAAGGGGGGACAGGAAAGGTGGGGAGGGACTCTTGATCAGGGAGTGCAGGGATAGGACAAGGGGTAGCAGTTTTAAACTGAAAGAGGGTAGACTTAGATGAGCTATAAGGAAGAAATTCTCTCCTGTGAGGGTGGTGAGACACTGGCCCAGGGTGCCCAGAGCAGCTGTGGCTGCCCCCCCCCTGGAAGGGTTCAAGGCCAGGTTGGACGGGGCTGGGAGCCCCCTGGGCTGGGGGAAGGGGGCCCTGCCCGGGGCAGGGGGGGTGGAACTAGATGGTCTTTAAGGCCCCTTCCAACCCAAACCGTTCTGTGATATACTATAAATCTCAATTTATTTTTACCTTCACCTGCCAGACATAACGGGTAACAAGGAAGACTAAAATGGGATAATTGTAATATTATTCCCCTTGTAGGGAGGGGAAAGAGCAGCTATAGTCTATAATTTTGTAATATAGTACAAAAGAGTCACTTCTAAAATTTTCAAAGAAATCTTTTGCAGACACACACAAAATGTAAATTTCTTTCTGACAGAGAAAAGTGGTTTGACTCAAATGAGAACAAGACGATAAATGTTTTTAACATTTGTGGATGTTTAACATTTAACAGGTTAAATGTTAAAATTTAACATTTTAACATACCTGCTACCAGCTTCACAGCAGCAGCAGCAGCAGCAGCTGGCAGTGGCAGGGCCCGTGCTAGGCCGGCACTGGCAGCGCCGAGAAGGCTCAGCAGGGCCAGCTAACCCCGCTCCGGCAGCCGCGTTAGGGAGCTCACCAGTCACCTTCCAGCATTTAGATGGAACCAACACAACCAAAACACCAGATCTTTTTTGCCCTGATACAGCAGCCTGAGTACAGCCACCACCTTTCTCTGTCCTAAGTGGAGCTAAAGGCAAATTCTAAATACGCCACAAGTGGACTCCCTACCACGCAGAAAAGCTTTGGTCTATATTTGCATAGCAGCAGTCGACGGAGCGTATTAAAAGACAGAAGCAGCAGCCTCAAGGAATTTAGTATCTGCTATTGTAAAGGCAAAAAACCCCCATGGGACGGGTGGGGCTGCGAGGTAGAAGGCAGAGCCTGGCTCTGTAGTGATCCACGTCGGAGCATGCTGCAGCCCAGGAGGCTGTTTTTAAGTGTGGTTGCATTGAGGCTAGGAACTCCAGAATTAAGACTGAGGCTTTGACCCCAGCTTGCGAGTCTTATTTAGCTACAGCCGTGCTCCCTGCTCTACTGCTTGCAGATGCCATCTGTGCAACAGCATTAGGCGGGGTGAATTAAGGACAGTTTCATGCAGATTTTCAGCAGTAACCATCCACGAACGGAGGGCCAAGGAAAATGCTCACAAATTAAAAGCTGACACCAGACCCTGTCACGACAATCTCATCTACTTGTCGCTGAAGTCCTTTAGGAGGGCCCTCCTGAGGGTGGAGAGATGATACTGACTGTCCTGTAGAGCTGAAGTGTCCCGTGTCTGAGGCTGCAGAAGAGAAGAAAGTTGTCTAAAAAGATGCTGGCAATGCTGAAGTAACGAAGAAAGAATCTCTCGCGCTCAGCCTTGGCTGCAGAGTTTAATTTTAACTGTGTTAAAAATAGAAGCATATGATAGGAACCTTAACTAAAAAATTGACAGCTAGAGTATTCACACTGCAATTTCACTGCGGCCCCTTTCCACTCCACTTCTGCGGCGTGGTGTCAGTGTAGTGTCACGTTCTCGTTTCTGTTCTGAGCCCCCCTCTACCTACACACTTTCACAACCACTGACCTCGGCAGCACCTTCTCAGTGATTTATGGCTTTGTGTGTACGCTCAAACTGGAGAGTGTTTGGTTTTTTTCACGTAAAGAAAAACACATTGAGTTTTCACTCAACTCTCTTCTCAAACCCGGTGAGGGAGAAGATGGAATAGCATGCTGCTGGTCTTTCTGCCCTTTCTGCCTGCATCTTCCTTGCAAGTGCTGTTTACAAATACTCCAAAGTTCATTGGCTTCTGCTTCACATAATGGCCATAGAAAACCAAGTTATAGCAGACAGGAGGTCAAGATTTACTGACCTGCACCGAGTTGGCTGTTGAATGCAAGTTGTCCCTGTCCCCTCCGAAGCTGCAAACTTTCAGGTAACATATATGTGTATGTATCTATCGAGAGAGAATTCTATTGCTAAACAGTGTGAAGTAGGCAATAAAATAGAAACTCCTAGGTTGTCATGCCCTGTAATTTGCTGCACCTTTTTCTGCCCATTGCGATGGCAAATTTAAACTCCATCTAGGAGAGCCCCTGGGCCGAGGTCAGTAATCAGGAACAACCGGAGCAGGAACGCAAACCCACCAGGAATGCTGCTCCCACCACTCACCCCACGTCAGGCTGTACAGCCTGAATTTTAAATGCAATAAAGCAAGCCTACAGAAATGCTCCCGTGCTGCTGCTATGAGGCAACAAATACGCAAAAGAAGGTCGAGTTTAGTGAGCAACACAGCTGGGCATGGTGCTAACGAGCACTGGCCGACTCCTCCTCCTCCCCTAGCCCCAGACCCTTAAGATCTGCCACAGGGTGCACAGGCATTTCCCAGGCTGCAGCGTTTGCTGCCCAGTTGTACCTACAGGTGGAGAAGGCCCCCCGCCTTCGCTTTCCCTCCCCTTTAGCTGTGTGTGAGGTCCAACTTGCAAATGACTCCAGCTCACCTACCGGCTCTTCTACCCACCCCCACCCCCCCAAAAAAAAAAAGAAGACTGGTGACAGCTGTGCCAGACCCCACGTTACCCCAACACGCACAGAGGCAGCCAATTATTTCACACCACATCCAGTGCTTTGTCATCGCAGCCTGCGGAGAAAGGCCTGGAGCCGGGTTCAGTACTAGAGCTGCAGAGGTTGTACCACCATGAGCTAATCCTCACACGGGCGCTTGAAGGCCAGCAGTTTGACCGAAGGGAACGCTTCCTCCGTGCACAGGCATTTTGTGTAAGCCCAAAGCAAAAGTTCTCCTGACACCCGGTCGCAACAGCCACAGCTTTAATCATCTAAAGCATTTACACCCACCAAGCAGGCATAACCATCAGGAAGTTGTATTTTACCTTCTCGCTTCTAGAGCTTGAGGCGCCACATTTTCAGACTGGTTTTAGAGGCTGCTAGATTTTTTTTACACTGAAGCTCAAAACCCGATGTTATGACTCTGGAATTTTACGACAGACACTAGTCAGAGCTTCCAGCACCCAAGCTGCATTTGGACACCGAGAAGCACCTCGAGAGACACAGGTCCTTGGCTCAAGCTGCCACAAGGGATAGGGAGGCCCACAGCCGTGGGCACCTCCTTCGCGGACGAGACGGCATTTCGTCCGAGCTCTGGGCAAACTGACACAGCAGCACTGGGCTGGACAGAGTTTAGCTGCCTTGGATTTGACTCATACGTGTTATTTTTTGGTTTAAATCCAAGCTAGTTGTTTTTAAAGATGGCAATAAAACACAGCTGCTGCGGTATCGGCTTCATCAGAAAAGTAAGTTTGCAGGCATCTAGTCCCTAATACGTGCTTGTAGGCGGGCAGCCTGGTGAAGCTCCAGAGAAAGTTATTCGGTTGAGAAATGCAGCCTTTGCACAAAAGTTCCATCAGGGCTTTTAGCCCAGAGACTTCAGTCTTAATTTAATCCAGCTGCCACACAGGGACCATTATAATCAATGAACAAAAAGAAGATCTGCAGAGTCAGCAACAAAACACCACTTTAAGTACCTATACATTTGAGAATCCAAGTAATGCTCCTGTCCATAACTCAAAGGCTTCCAACTAGGCATAGAACAACAAATGGAGTACGTTGATGCTGGGCCACAACATGTTTAGGAAAGCTGGGGGCCCCCTAAAAAATAAAGTACATTTAGTCAGAGCTAGGCTTTCACCGCCAACCAAGTCACTAAAATAGTGTTGCATTCTGTGGCTGGCTGCGCTCGGAATAGCTGAATACCTATTTATGCAAGTCAGACACCACGTTAACAAGGAGCAATTTTTCCCCTCCTTCGCACACTTCTGGCCCAAAACATTACGTAGCAGTGCTATCCACTCAGACAGTTACCAGAGGACACGCACTAATTTTTCAAGTTTGCTATGAACTTTTTCTTTCTGGTCCCCCGTAAATCAGAACGACGCAAGCGTAAATTCTTTCTGCATTTCACGCACAGGCAAGTGCCCCCTGCTAATCTGCGGTGTCTTACCTCTGGTTTGCTCATTAACCTAAGGAGCCAGAGTGTCACGTAGCCTCCCTTTCTGCTGATAATGCTCAAAAGGTGCAAGGAAGAACGTTCTGTACTTACCGAAGTCAGATCTGCACACAGCAACAACATTACTGTGCCAAATCTAGCCGGAGTTAAAAGAAAAGAAAGAGGAAAATCCCAGTATTGCACTCGTAACCGCAGATGCAGTTTAAATGTTACAAATGTAATAGCAGCCGCCGTAAAAACTGCAGGCGTGACACAGCAATTTCGGTAAATACAGCACAGTAAATTGCTTATTAAATCAAGCTGCCCTCAAACGGGAGCTGTGGCTACAAATTCAGATGATACGACGACATAATTTAACTGCGCCAAATCACACCGCACTCATCCTTTTCTTCCCGAGATTTCAGAGCTTTTTAGAGGAGCTAAAAAACCCTCCTGAAGCACGAAACCTTCTGTGAGGCAGGAGCGGAGTGCACAGGCGGGTAGAGAACGCGTACGCGCTGTGCTAGGTGGAATACTGCTCTTGGTAAATAGAACTTAACCTCTTGAACTCAAACCCTTGGACTCTGCGGGATGCAATAAGTTTGTGTGCAAATGTTTTTCTCTGAAGGAGCGAACAGACCGCTTAGGCACTGTGCCCCGGGCCAAAGAGCAATTAGAGCGGCGCTGGTGGCAAGAACGCTGCGCGGGCTGCCTGTCTCTCCAGGCCTGTCCCCAGCCCCACGCTCGGGCCCTGCCCGTGGCCGAGGGCTGCCCCGGTCACACCGTGGGTTGTCCCATCCCGGGAAAGGGACCGATTCTCCCCAAAAGCTCAAATCCCACCTGAAAGGCCGATGTGCCCAGCGGGTACGGCAGCACGACACCACCGAATTCATCCGGCTTTTGACAAAGTGACAAACCCCGGTGGGAGGGGAAATAAGCGATGTATGAACTGGACCTTCTGAAGGATCTAGCTGGGTGTGCTGGTGGCAGGGACGGCCCGGGCCCGCTACTGGGAATTTTCTCACCTCTGCGGAATACAGCTGAGAAGGGCAGCTCTCATCCCTGTTCGTCCGAACCAAGGTCAGGAGTTACCAGGACAAAGGCGGCAGCGCGTCTTTCCCATCCGAAACTGCAACACCAACAACTTGATCTCTTTTGAAATTCCGTGTTTTTCTTTAGAGCACGCACAGAAAAGGTCAAACTCAAGAAAAATGCCTAGAATACAGTAATAAAAAAGGCAGCGAGTAGGGCCAACAGCACAGCACGTGCATTGCGACTGACTGTCCGTGGTGAAAGACCAGCGTGTGCAAAGGGTGATGCTGTTTTGCCTGAAAGTTGCCGAGTGTGTGAGCCCAATTAATACAAACCATGTGCGTGTGTGTGTGTGCTGAGACTAACCCACAGGGCATCCAAAAATGGTCAGTGGTAAAAAAAGAACTACAATTGTTCTAAGACCAAGTATTCACCTTATAGGTAAGTTGCAAGGAAAAAATAGCAGGTTGAAATTGCCAGAAAGATTCCTTGCTACAGCAGAACAGCTTAAAAACACACTCAACGGCTATGTCACTGGCAATGTGGCAGTCACAGTTTGAAACATCTAGCAGGAGACTGGAAATTAACTTTGGTATCACTCAGCCACCACCTGCAGGTTTCAGGATAGATCTGCCAAGCCCAGGACACTTCAGTCGTGACTGATGCTGAGACAACGCGCCAAAGAGGGGACAGCTCTAGTCACACCCACACGTGAGCGTGGGGAGAACCCAGACCACAGAGCACTTCCTTACTCTTGGAAAGGGCGGCATAAAGTCGTGGCCTCTGGGGGCTACCAGCTGCATCACAGCTTGGACCACAGCTGGCTGGCGTGTTTCGGAAAAAGATGCATCACTGGCGAGAGACGGGCTAACACGTCAGCTGACTGGAGGGAAGAAGCTTAATTTAAGACACATTTGGCTGAAGAACTTACGCACGCAGAGGTGACTGATCTCAAAAGAGTGACATTTTCAAGCTACATCACAGGTTCTGCATTTTGCAGACAGGAAGATGCAATTCCTGCCAATATATATATATATATTTTTTTTTTTTTTTTTTCCCCTGGGCAGGGCGCTGGGCGTTATGCTACCATCACAGTTAAGATATAACTGCAAGTCTGATCCCACTCAGGAACCAAGCAGTAAAGGTACAGGTGCGATCGCCAGTTTGAGAGTCCTGAGCCAGGGTCCCTGCACTCGTCCACCTCTTCCTTTCGGGGCACTGACTGACAGATTTCCCGTTTACAAGGGGACACTGAGCACGCACCCAGTTCTGACCTTTCAGCAAGAAGTTTTCCACCCGACTCCAGATTTCAAAGGTTGAATTTATCCAACTGGATGTAGAGCATAAGCTCTACTACAGCTTATGAGAAAAATCCTCCCCTTCCCCAAATTTACAGATGCTTTTTTTGAGCAGTCCACATTTGAAAATCCCCCGTGTAGCTTAACAGGCCTGCTGAGATGAAATTGCCGTGACTTTGTGCATTTGTTGAAAGCACCAGTTCACGTTAACAATCTCAAAAGAAATCCCTTCTCTATCCAGCAAACAAGGATTCTTATTTTAGAATAAAAACATGGGAAGGGAGTGTTTGCAAAGTAACTTTACTGCCTTGAGCACTGGTCTGCAGAATTCTTTATTTAAAAGAAAATAAGTATTATTTGTCATTCCTTTTTAAAAGAAGCCCTTCAGAAAAAGGATCAGCTTACTTCTGCTTTTTAGCACTTGTTTCTGAACCCCTAAACGTTAGCTCATCACACTCACTTGGTGGTACTTCTTTTGCTCCCACAAAGTTCCCACCTGAAGAGATGAGAAGCAGAGCAAGCAGGAGGATGACCCTGCATCCACAGTGATAAAACACTTTCCACGCACACGCTGCTGAACCCCTTCAGGCCAGGCCTGTGAGCACAGCATGAAAGACAGCACTACCGGTAATAGTGGGAGTGGGAACAGGGGAGTGGGGAAAGGACCCACCATGTTCTAGGAAGAGTTGTTTTTTTTTAAAAAAAAAAAAAAAAAAATCACCTTAATTCGCTCATCACCCATTTACAACAACAGTGCAGTGGAAAAATAGAAAAAGAGCTCTCAAACCTGGACAACTGAGATTTAAGAGAAAACCCACAGCCTTGGCTTCAGCTGCAAGGAAGCAGGAGCATGTGGAGGTCAATAGGTGATTTACAGGATGGCAAAGCAATGGTGCCTAAAAGAATAAACAAGTTAGAAGTGAAAGCAAACCCGAGTCAGCTAGGAAGCAACACGACCCCCAGCCATCGTGGAAGTGAAGACTCCACAGCAAACAAGTGAAGACGGGCCCAGAGAAGTTCTTCAGGTGATTCTGTTAGCAGTACACCTGGGATTTTTTTTTTCCCTTGGAATAGCCTACAGCAGTCTGACACAACGAATGAGTCTCACAGCTTGTAGATTAAAGGTACAACTTTTCCAGAAGCATCCAAAGGATTTAGGAGCTGAAATTTGCACTGCAAATTCCACGGGAACTTGCCATGTAATTAATCAGACTCTTCTGGAGCGTCTCTGTTTTCTGTTTTTAAAGTGTTCTTTTCCCTTGCAACCTCCAAGGAAGTGTATTTCAAAATCAGGATGCGATTAACTGGAGCATCCCACGTTGCCGAATTACAATGAGGGGGAGAACTAATGTATGCAAGCGTTCCTTCTGACTTCTGTTTCTTCAGATTTCCTGGAGTCACTGTTAGTTTCTTTCCTGGACAAAGGGGTTTAATGCTTTCCTGAAGTAAGCCCCTCTTTATGTAGCCACGTACAGCACACGGGAAGCACAATTATGCTACTAAGATAAGACAAAATGCAGTGGTGATGCACCAATTCATCATGTTTGGGTTCTTCTAATGAAGCCCATTACTCACAGAAGAGAATTTTCTCAAGCAGTTAGTCACCAGCAGACAGCTTTCCCTGTTACTCCTTCCTTTGCTACAGCTGGTGGATAGTCTGGTCCTTCCCTCACCCTTCCCAAAGTGCAATATTAGGAAAAGTCAACACCTAAATTAAAAGTAAACGAACAGTATTTAACTTTCCCTTAACCAAAAATATTAACAATAAAACAGAACAGCTTTCAGGAACAAGCCAACCTTTTTCATTAAAAACAAACAAACAAACGACAAAAACAGCCTGCTGTCCTTTTAATACTACGGAAAGATATCAAATACCTTTCTTTAGCTTATTTAAAATAAGCATAAAAACGAACTACATACAAATTACAGCTTGCATAGAAACACTTTCTTTTGTACTTTGTGCAAATCTTACTACATAAGGCATGCTTGCAAGTTTAGGTAGCAATGCAGTAGTTATCAAAGAATGCTGAGAAACCGCAAGGAAAATTCCAGGCAGTCTGCAATCCCCATCCACTTACACAGCCCATTTGACTTCAAAGGCCAACAGCTGATCGCTGCGGATCTGTCTGCGACATAAGGCAATATGGTATGTGTAGGGTCCAGCACCTGCTTTCGGCTAGTCGTGGGCTTAATACACATAAGATCACTTGAATTCAAAAAACCTGAGCTGCTAGTTAAAAAGAGGGTTTCGGATGTGGATTGGGAAGAACCACATTTCAGGGAAAAGGAAGGGAAAGGTGGAAGCACAACCCACCACAGAAAAGGGGGTTTGTGCAGATTTTGTGTGTATTTTTATACTCTGAACCGTCCCCACGGGGCAGTGTTTTTCTAAGCAAACTGTCTTCTAACAAGTTCACCAGAGCAGAAAAAGTTAAAACGTTTGTCTCTCCGAGCCACCCCACAAGTGTCTAGTGCAGAAATTCAACCGGCGTCAGTGACGCTACAGAAAGGTGGCTGTGTAAAGAGGAGGAGATGAAGTAGGAAGCTGCAGTAAGAGCAGTATCAGAAATCTCTCAAATAAGTTATGTAGCACAGAGGGAAATTATAAGGCCTAATGCAAGGTAATGTGGAATAACATTTTGCCGCCTCCTCCCCCCTCCAAATCAAGTATGTTCAGGAAATATTGAAGTACAACCTTCTCTTGTAAGCAGCTTTGCATTAAAAACCTGGTTAAACTCCAAAAGCTTTCTTAAAACACATTTTAAAACCCCACTAATAATAATCCTCAAAATCCCCCAGTATTTTGTAACATAAAATGGAATGTTCCTGGGCAAGAGCTGCCAGCTCCTTCAGGAACTCCGGGAAAAGGGCAGCTGCGAGCACGGCATTCCTCACGTGCGCGGGAAGGCCGGGATGAGCCAGGCCTCTCCTTCCTTTCTGTCCCAGGAAAGGCTGGAGCACAGCCGGGTAAGCTTCAGAGAGGTTCCTTCCTTTCCCTGTGTTGCTGCTGTACTGGACGTTACCTAAAGCCAGGAAGGAAGGAGGGGAGAGGATAGGGGGGGAGAAAAAAAAAAAAAAAAAAAAAAGAAGAAACCAAAATGACTCAGTATATTAAGCACACTCAGTATCTGTACAGTGTCCAACCCCAGTTTACAAGGACGGTGTTCAGAGCTGTAATTCGCAGGACCCAGACCGTGCAGGGAGATGCTCCACTAATCCAACATTTTTAAGTTCTACGTGGCCTGATTCTATTGCATTTTTTATTAGCGATCTTTTCCCGGGTTATGTATTATTCAGTTCCAGCGCTGATGAGAGGAATATGTGGGCAGAAGAGGAATCAAGGGAAAGAGTAATATGGATTTACCTTATGAAATAGCAGTTAATATCCACCCATCTAGTCCCAGCATAGTTGTCTCAATTTAAATGATATTGTGCTCTAGCCCTCCCCCAGATCAAAATACCATTCCGACTTGACTTCTCTCCCTCTCTCTCTGTCCTCTCCCCGTGAATCATTGTGTAAATGGGTTTGAGGCCAAGCTAGCACATCACCGTGGGAGTTTGAAGCAAGCAAGAAACAAGGGGGAAAAATGTTTGAAAATTTGATTTTTCTGCAGCTGTAGGCCCCACTAGCTACACTTACCTTTAACTGCCTGTAAAGCAGCTAAACATTAAAAGAAGAGCACGTGAAAACTGTCGCGTGCTCTGCTATACGATCTCTGCTGCCAGAGTTCAGAGGATCAGGGCTCAAGCATCAGAACGCACGGAATTACAGTGACAGCAGCACTTAAATTTCAATCAATTGCTCCTTGTTTCAACCTGAAGCAGAACTGCAGTTTAATTAGATGGTAATTCATTTAGTGAAAACTAAAAAGGTGTCAAAACTTAACACTGATGGCAATAAATACTTTACCAAGAAAAATTAACCTGCAGAACTCACTGCCACAAGATGTCATTGAGGCCAGAAGCAGAGACAGGTAAAATCCTGTCTAACTTAGAAGTGGATGTTCTCATGAGCTGTGTACCGTTACAGAAAAACAAAGAACTGTCGTATTAACTCACCTACTGCAGACAAGGCAGATGCTATACCGCTGCATTAAGCAGCAGCTTCCCTTAAAGTGCGTGCAGTTTTTGTTAGAGCAGCACAGTCCCGGGTTAGGCCACGCACCCAGCAGCTGACACGGGGACCCGCAGGTGAACGCCTCACCCGCTGCAGCTCTGCACTTCTGTTCCTTTCCTGCAGCTCTCCTAAGGCACTGGGGAATTACTGTACACTTCCAAACACTCGAAAGACATTTTCATCTGAATCATCTCACAGAGTCGTACTTTTCTTGAGTTTCAAAAACCTTTCCAACTCCAGACTTATCAATCATTCATACTGTTATTCTACAAATTTCTCTCTACAAGAGACAGAGTACAGGAATTTCAGTTCTGTGGAAAATTCTGACCGGGAGGAAAAACAACTTAAATTATGAATTGCAATGAAAAGATAAAGTTTTGAGCTGCTTTGAAGATTTTTTTTTTTATTATTTTCTCAAAGTTAAAATGTTTCATAATTAATATTTTAAGGTTTTTAAATAGTTCTGCCAATATAACCAGAATGCTACTATACTGTCAAAGGTTTTCTTTTTTTTTAAAAACAAACAAACAAAAAAAAAAAATCAAAACTCTTTCCTTCAAAAAGCATTGAACTTGACACATTTCCCTAAATATAATTTTGATTTAGATTTAACTGCTTATTGGGGGGAGGGAAGAAAAAAAAGAAGAGAAACAATCACAGAAAGCTGGTCTAGGGACCAGAGATTTGATTTTTTTTCTTTGACCAGGATTGTCTACTGCTTTATAGAGTCAGGACGCAAACTGAATCATACAATTGAGAAATTGAGAAAATTAGTACTCTGGAGATATTGCTACCAATGCACTGAAAGGAGGGCAGCTTCTCATACGGACTCTACATCATGACAGCTCTACATATCTAACCAGAACCCAAGCTACTGCGTAAGGAAACCACATACTACTGCAAGCAGAAAATAACAAATCACCTATTTCTGCTTCAACACCTTCAGAGACCATCACCATCAAGAGAAAGAGAAAGGAAACGCTCTGGAATACTTTGGTTTTACATTTGTGTTGTCTGGCTTCTGTTTTTCAGATGTGAATTCTGCAGGATGCCAGTTATGCTCAGATCTGTAGAGAAAACTTCGGAGTTATCCCCCTTTGGGAAAAAAGCCCTCAGAGAACAGCTGATTTGCAGGATGTTCAAAGGTGGCATTCAAGCTAATGCAAAGAAATCCTGCAGGAGTTCCTTTTTTTTTTTTTTTTTTTTTTTTTTCATTTACCATTAGCGTAGAAGTTCCTACCTTGCACTTCTTAATCGATATAATGAACTACTGTGGGTTGATGGACTACTGAGCCAACTTGCCCCAAGAATTACAGTTTGATTACTTGCATTACCAGTCTTGTTGGGAACCAAGTCTGCGGTTAGCCAGACATTTATTTACTCTGCACCTATTTGTCAGGAGGTGCTGCCTTTGCAGGAGTTCCCACAACACAGAAGAAAATGTACCAACAGGGTGACTAAGCAGCCTTGTTTCAAACCCCTAAATAACGATCAGCATGAGTCAACCTGGCAAATCTGAAGCCCACAGAACAGAACTGACGTAATATAGGAAGTATAAATAAATGCCACTGGGAATGCATAATATAAAAGTTCTTATTGCCAGCACCTGAAAAAAAGGACCCTGAATGTTGCCTCCTAATCTCACCTCCCACACGCTAGCTACAATACCATCTAATTGTAAGGCTTTCTAATCTATGGCACCAGAATGTAGAGCCTAAAATGCTACTGATGGTTGCAATCCACAGCTCCCTTTACAGCAGGCACCTTCCACAGACTAATTCTTCAAGAAGCAGTCTTAGCAAGATCATGGTTTTACAGACTAGATGTACTGCAAACCTTATAAGCACATACCACACTGACTAGAAACTAGGCAAATTACTATTCAGAGCCCCAGAAAATGAAAACATGATTAAAGTGGTGCGTGAGAAGTCCTGCTTTCTGGAAATCCAAGAGAAGTTGCAACATCTTCACAGAGGTGTAGGCAGAGTGGGTGATTAGGAATGCCTCCCAATGATGAGTAAACACACCCCCATAAATGCAGCCATCTCTTGGACCCTGCTGCTGAGTCAGCTCTCAATCACTGCGGTCCCTGCTCTCGCCAAATCTGACACGTTCCCATCACATGGGAAGTTGGCTTTTAAGGGAAACCTGCACCCAGCCCTTTTTCTGTGTGTGTTTTGTTTTGTTTTTCACTCAGGAAAGCACATTCAAAGTTTTCTGGCTAATACCTGTTTGCTTCAGTAGTAGCCCAACCATGATATGAAGCCTTATTCAATTGTTGCAGAAACCAATTCATTCTGAATTTCTGTCCTCCCTAACATTTATCAAAAAAGAACCAATGACTAGCTGAAGGTCAGGCTAAAAATAAAATGAAATCATGCACATATGCCATCTCACCTCATGCCTTGAAAGCAAGTTTGTTTACGGCCAAACTGACAGTGAGCCAAGAGCTGATTTCGTTACTCCTTTAAACAGACATTTCCTATAGCAAATAAAAGAGCAAATAAAAGCTTCTAAAGAGCAAAGAATATCCACATAGATCCATATACTGTGGCCTACTGAGCATCATCCGTCTGAAGTCAGAAAGATACATCTGGTTAATGATATTCACACCACACCACACCTACTTTTAATCATTCTGTAGAAAAGGAGAGAGGTAGCCGGTGAGTCATTCCACCCTGCACTCCTCCGAGTGTGGTCAACATTTACCTTTGGTTAGCAATTCTTCTGCAGCATCAGACGTGTCCACACGAAACAGCAAGTACTGCTGGGCCTCCAGGAGAAGACCTGGGAAGTCTTTTTCAATGGAAGCAAAATGTTCAATTTTGTTTTTCACAGATGCCAGCACCTGCCAAAACAACAGTGACAATTACCTCTTCGTCCCTTGTTCTCAGTGCAACCACAGACTGAATACTCAGGCTTTCTCCAGCTGCATTAAAATAGTTATGACAAAGGTTATGGTCCTCTAGAATTTCCAGTTCTTTGCACAAATGCAATTAAAACATCAAAACGAGATGAGAGGCTCTCAGACAGGTGGGAAAGCAACAGCTGAAACTGAAGAGAGTTAACATAAGGTTCAACAAGACACCAAAAATCCTGTTCCAATAGGCATGACTAACACTTGTGGTAAAATACCTGATAAAGTGACCGCACGCTAGGCTGAAACACCATGTTGGTGTTGAGGAGAAAGGAGCGAAGAAGAGGCTGCGGGTAACTTGCCAGCTGAGTAATAACCCCAATAAGCATCAAATTTACATGCAAGGAATTCTCCAGCATGTTCTCCAGCTTCGACAACACTACGCTGATGAATGGTCCTGCAAGAAAAGAAGGAGGAACCAATGCTTTTGTTTTCTCAGAAGGAAAATCCTCAGATCCAGGAAACAGGCATTTAAAAGGAATTTTGATCATCATAACCAACCAAATTAGACCTCCCACATGCTAATTAAAGCCAGCAGGGAAAAAACCCCAAACTCTATCTGAACAGACAAATTAGACTTAACAGAGGTGTTAAAAGCTTTCCTGATTAGAAGCACTGTTGCTAGCTAGCCAATCAGTTTACATTAATGGCATATTTAACATGATGCCTAACTATTCTACTTCACATGTGCCGATAAGGATTTAGCCTAATATGTTATGGTCTGCTGTTCTATTCCCCTTGAAGTTAATCAGAACTGTACCAATAGTTTCAGTGCCAACAGAATCTGCCCTTTTTACTCTTGTTGGGCCTTATTTCCACGTAAGGACTGGACAAAGTAAATTATAGCTAGGTTTCTTGTCTTATCAAAAAAATGCGGTGTTCGAAAGGCAATATGAAAATGCTATTCTGAACAAAACCCAAGATCTGTGATATCACATCGCAAGCAAAAGCATTTTCGGTTCTGCAAACTGTCACACAAAGCAGGGAAGACATTAAAATAGATTTATAAGCAAAATTATTGGTAGACCTAGGCTTTATCATATAAATGTCACCAATAAATAATAGCTTTGGTTTGTGTATTCATGCTGCAGGATAACCAGTGAACTGCAGAAGCATTTCCCAGGAAAGTACATAAACCTTTAGTTCTCAAGCTTAAGGAACCTCTGCAAGGCTGAGCGTGACTTGAACAAACTACTACATGTCATTAGATGATACGGATGGAGAGATGCTTGAGGCAGTCTGTACTAAGTGACCTAATCACAAAGTCTCAGACATGTCCTTTGTCCCACACGCAGCCCCACCACGCTGTTCTGGCTGTGCAAAAGCTAGGGAAGCCACGCAGAAGTATCCCTGGGTGATGTAGTTTCAGCACCGCTAACTCTGAATATCCCACCCTAGTCCCTGGCGCAAGACGCGTGCCACGGGCATCTCCAGGGTCAGGCAGGCAGCCGTAATCCGAGCGCACCCCAGCTCCCCTCAGCTAGCAAAGAGCTGCTGTGCGAGCTACCCGGACCCAGTTTAGCCCAGTTTAATATACCTACAGCAGAGGTTAAAGCAATTCTGGGCCAGCAGGACAGTAAGGATCAAATCAGAAGTGCCTACGCTGTCACTTCACCTACAGAGCCCACTAAAGGCTGAAGTCTATCACGTTTTAGAGCAACTGTTGAGTACAAAGCAAGCACTCCCTCAAGGCTCACCTATCATGGCTAATGCCTCCCAAGAGGAAAGGAAGGGGGGACAGTGTTGACACGGCTTCGTGTGGCTGCTACGTTTCAACCGCCACATCAGCCACCAGAGTGAAAGTTGGTATCATGTCCTGCAGGAATCCCCCTGGCAGGGCACCCAAGGGAGCAGCCCCAAAACCTCCTGTGGAGGCAGAGTTTCTCCTGTCCCAACACAACCTGTTGCTTCCTCTCTCACAGTCATAAAGACATTTTCACAGAGCTCCAGAGGACCACAGTGAAGTAGAAGCTCTACTGTATCAAAAGGGGTGGCAGGAGAAAGAGTTGAGATATACCACTATTTTTCTCCTCTAGGGCAGACTTCAAAGCTGAAGCTACATACTTGTACCAAGTGCTGTTTGCCACTGTAAGAGAAGTTACCAAGATACATTAAAAACTTTCTCAGTGGTAAAGTGACTTTCTCCCCAAAGACACCACTGGAATGAGAATCAGAGGAACTAAGCAGAGCTTGCAAGCCTTGTAAAAAATAGGGTAACCAGATAGTAAGTAAAAAAATTATTCCTTTCCTGACTATGCATCTCTGTGTGGCCATGAAGTCAAGCACTGATTGGGGGTGGGGGTGGTAAGGGAGGCATAATACAAATTGCTGTTCCAGAACACCACATTCATTCTTGTTGAGGGGAAAGTAGGCATGATAGTGTTTAATACTTTTAAATTGGACACAGACACCAGTAGGGCATTTTCTTCATAGATCCATAGGCCTGAAGGGAACGTCCTTGCACTGCTGACACTGCCTGGGTGTGGGAACCTCTGTCTGGTTATTCGATTCCGCAGAGAGAAGCCCCATCCCATGACAGCATCCCGAAACAGTGAAAGCAACCAAAAATCCTCATTACATACATCTACAATCATAATATAGCACTCCAAACTAAATAATTGCAAGATTCTGCAATCTCAACATTTCTGAGGTATTGTTACGAGCACCTCCTTACTTGCAATCACTAACATCTCCATTAAAGCAAGGTAAACAGCCTGAGTAAAACATGTTGTGGATGGAGAGCAAACAACAAAGCTTCTCAAGGATTTTTGTATGGGTTTTTTTTTGTTTGTTTGTTTGTTTTTTTTTCCTCTCTGTTTTGCTCAGTTGTGTTTTTTTCTGTGGGTTTGGGGGATGAAGGGGGTTGGTTTTGGTGTGGGTTTTTTGAAAAGGAACAAGTGGAAGAAGGGACTAGATGAAGAATGGGAGACAAGGACAACATATTTGAGCTACATTTGACAGCAGATAACGGAAAACAGAAAGGTTTGAATGTGATTAGCTTCTGCTACAAGGAAATTGCCACCACAGCAAAACCAGCAAATTGACTGAAAAACAGGCTGAATTTTTCAATTAAGAAACTGTGCCAGGTGTGCTGGTCAGCCACAGCTGACCAAAAAGGGCTGCATTTCGATGGACACAAATGTTTTCCCCTCCTTTCAAACGAACAAGAAGCCATCTTATAGAGGATTTGTTTTGGATGAGAAAACCTAGATACATTATTATTTATTATTTGCATTACTGTGATATCTAGTTTACCTAATTAAAGACCAGCAGACCGCAGTGCAAGGAGCTGTACAAATACAGATCAAAAGCCCACTCTAACCTCCAGTAGCACTGTCATTCCTGAACAGTTTGGAAAGTCGGCGGAGACCAAGCTTAAATTGCTGCCTGGCACAAGATAGAAAAGCATACCAACCGAGGGCAGGCCTGATATCAGAGGAACAAGATGCCAGGGCAGAGCATGGAGACAGGCACGTACAGCCATGGCACCGGTGCTGCCACCTCGTGCTAAATCGTGAAATAGCAGAGAGGAAAGAAAGGGCAACGTTGATACCACATCCACAGCATCAGCGATGTAAGGCACCAGAAAAACAAACTATTTACCTGAGCTCTGTATATTAAAACAGTTATTCCCTTTCAACTGCAAAAGCTTACTCTAGAATGATGGACCTCTCACATACAAAAAACATAACCAAAAAAACCAAGCTGAAAAACCCCTGAGCAACCACCATTCGCTGTCACCACACTGATTGCTCTGCTCTACTTTCAAGCTGGATCTCTCGCTCTCCTTGGAGCAGTCTCAGCTATCTGGGCTATGTCCTCTTTAGTGCCAGGACTGTTCCTTGCTCTGTGCTTGTGCTGTGCACCGCACAGTGTGATCTCATTTGGCCACCTTTAATCACCATGCCTTCCTGTATTTATTATGTATGTAATTAACAGAACATTCCACCTGTAAATGGAGCGCTCTGGCTCCTCGCAGCATGCTTGGGAGAGCCATTCTCCTTTGGTCCAAAGGGGGATGACATGCTCTCTGTAGAAGGGGTGTCTGCTGAGAAATTCTCAAAGTCCTCCTCCTCTTCTACAGGAGAGACAGGGTCAGGAGTATCCAACTTCTGCTCCTCCAAGCTTGCACTGTTTGGATCCAGTTCCTTAATAATTTTGTCATACTGTGCAATGAAATCCTCACCATCTGTGCTCAGCAGTCTTACACTTAAGTTACGATCTGCCTCCTGGGGAGAAAGTTTCAACTCCAAGTCTGGCTGTGGATCAATCTCAATCATTTTCTGGTTTATTTGCTCTTTCATTACACCTTGAGTCAAGCTTGAATTTCTCTTACTGTGCTCATCCAAGTCCATTTCCAGCTGGCACTTTGCAAGAGGCCCATTGACTACAGTCTGGCTTTGAATCTCACGTTCTCTGGCTGCATTTGAAGTTTTCTCCTTAGAGCTGTTATCATCTTGAGTATCCTTCTGGGCACATAACCTGTAAACTATAACATCATCCTGAAAGTCTGATTCCTCTATGTAAGATCCTTTGACAAGCATGATGGCACTTCTTTTCAATTCTTGAATGTGTTTTGGTGGCTCTGCAGGTGGCTGCATCTCTGTGCTTCCCTTATCATCATATGGTTGTGGTGAGCTCACATCAGAACCAGGAGAAATCCCTGTGTCATAGCTATCATCCCATTCTAGCTCCAACTGCATCTTCTCACCAAATGGAGTTACTTGAGAGGAGCTACACATGCTAGGTGTCCTTTGCTGGAGCTGAAACATGGGGTGTTCCACATCTGTACTGTTCTCCTCGGCAAGCGTTTGGATAAAGGTGTCTGGATCAGGGTTCACTCCATCATACAAGGCAGACCAGACCTTACAATCTTTCAGGCACTGGAGGATGGCTTCTTGAGCTTCTCCCAGGTACTGCAAGTAGCTGATGTCCACAGCTCTTCCATATTCCACAATGCAAGCAGATTCAGAAGAGCATCTAGTAGAATCTGAAAGTAAAGAAATATTACTCATGCTATGAGTAATCGCTAAGAGTTCTCCAGCAAGGCACCCACTAAGCCATGGGAGGTAGAGTCTTTAGCGCCAACCATCCAGTAAGGCAGGCAGATCAAAGCATAAAGATTAAGAGGCTTGCTCATAAACATACACGACTTGTTCCTATTGACAAGACAGAAATGTAACTCAAGGTCTCTGGAGAGACCAACCTGCATTCGAACCTTAAAACACGAGTGACCACTCTGAAGCAGCAAGCGGTGCTGTCATGTATCTGAACATTATTTTCATGAACGCATATTCAAGTTGGATAGCTGTTAAAATAAGGTTTCAATAGACCTGGATACATGGAAGGAATTAAATAAGCTTTCCAGTCCAGGCTTGCCCACGTTATTGCTGCCCATCACATTACCTTCCCCCCCCCAAACCTTCCTCACCTCCTCCCAGGAGCTGCTACCAAATCAAACTCTGATCATGATCTGTTCTTCCCCCGAGCACCAATTACCTTTTGTCTGTGCTCCTTTTGTCCATAGAATAAAATCTTTTCCTTGGCTTTCAAGTGTCAGTGTGATCCCAGTGGAGCAGCAGACTGGTGTCAGGGCCAGTAGTTTTGCAGCAGATACAGAGTAACAGTCTCTCTCTTTCACAGCCCAGCGCTGGCTCAACATCATGTGGTTACATGGAATCAGATACCTGAAACAGCAGCACCTAGCATTACTTCATCATCCTTTCATGCTAGAGAAAGCAACAACATACAGAATTCCCTTCCCACCTGCCTGCCCTGTCCACATTAGAAGAAACAGTAATAACAATCTTGACAGTGATCCATATTCTAAAACTCTCAAGAGCATGAAATCCTGACTCTTTATATCGTTAACCTATGGTTTGATGAGGAACTGCCAAGATGAGTAGAGACAGGAGATCAGTTGCCTCAGAACAGGGACATGAACAATCCTTTGCAGGCCAGAGCAAACTTGCTGTAAGAAGGGACTGAGGAAGTGTGTGATGGGCAGATGTCAAAGGCCAGCAGGGTGGTTTGCTCCCACTGTGAATGAGTTCTGTCTCAGAATCCTTAATTTCTTTCTTCTCCTGTGAAATCCAGAGAAAGCCAGTTTATATTTTCCAGGCCAGCCAGCAAAAAGGAGGGAAGGGTCATCAAGGTGTTTTACTGCAGTAGATCAAGACAGAGCTCTCAGGCAGAGAAGGGAATAAGCTATAGGGACTACAAGGAATAGAGGAAGCACAGCCTCATGCTGAGCTTCTTTAGAGCACTTCTGTTCAACTTTTTAAGAGCCTTCCTTAAAAGCCTTGGTGTAAACTGAGTGTCAGCTTTATTAAAAGCCCCAGTCTTAACTGGACTGATACTGTGCCATTTAAAATGCAAAGAAATTCTGAAGGATTCCCTAAATAAACAGAAGATTAAATACAGCATCCTACTCATGTTAGGAGTGGCAATATATGTGAGATGACCTAAGTCCTAACAGCATTCCCAGGCACAACAGCTGGAGCTATAGGGTATTTCACCTTAAAGCCTGCAGGTGGAGGGACATACAGAATCTGAAACGTTTATGTGATCTACAGTGCTAAAAGCCCAATTCAGTAACTCCAATATTTCCAAATAAATAATCAATTCTCATCTGATACACAGACCAAAATTATAAAGTGAGCATTCTGAAGCAATGCAAAGAACCACCAGTTAAAACAAAAGTTAATGCATTTAGTACACTGCATAACAATCTACCTACAACAGTTCAGGAACCTGAAGTATTCTCAGTGAGAAAGGAATCAAAGAGGTGGAAAGTAACAAGAATGAAGGTGAAAGCTGCGAACAAGTATATAGCTCTGTAACACAGTATATAATACACTAGAGAAAATATGCAGGAGAGAAGAATTATACATTTAGAAGCAGGGAATAAGCAGTTTGGAGGTGATAAATATATTCTTAGCTTCTCTTCTCTCACTTTTATAGAAATAAATCACAAGAAAAAAATCTCTTGCTCCTGAAGATCACAAGACGTAAATCACACTTCTTCAGGTCTGGGAGACTTCTGTCAGGATCATAAATATTCTTATCTCTGTAGCTGCTTGTATTTCTGGTCTCTTGGAGAACTCTCATCCAGCTCTGCATCCATAGGCAGAAACTGTATGTCCCAGAATTAGGATGAAGAGCAGAAAAAGGAGCTTGGGCTTTACCTTAAAACTAGCTGTAACATCACATCTTCACAATGCAAGCCAATGAGCGTTCTGAACAATGCCAAGGAGACCACACAGAGCTGGAAAACGATAAATGTTGTCAGGTTTTGATCTGGAAATTGTACCTTTCCAATCTTGCCTGCATACTACATTACAAAATGGCCCTGCCAGAACATCATGCTTTATAGGACACTGTTAGTATGAGATTTCATTTTGTCATCACCCCATGTTTTTTTGTTAAAGTTGTCTAGAGCTATACACGTAACATGTTACATATAAACAAAATACAGTCCTGAATTTTCCTTTAAATAAGCTATTAAAAAAGCAGTAATTAACCAGTCTTTATTCAGATTTATTAATTTAACTCAGCATGAGCTGAACCCTGTAACTTCCAAGCTAGTGTTACTACTTACCCCTGACACAGAATTTGAGCCAACTAAAGGTCTTTTTCTGAACGAGAAGTTATAAACCACCTCAAGTTTCTGTTGCTTTAAGTAGAAGGAATAATTAGCGTTCTGCACATTAAGAACCTGAATGCTTCTATAAATATAGCTCAATGTACTGACACAGACCAGGACTAAACAAGTAATTTTTGTCCGCATCTACTCCATATGGAGTGTTCACAATCCCCCCATTACAGGTCACTTGAATAGCTGGAAACTATGGCAAGGCACGAAGATCCTTTCTGTGAGACCCGGAGAAAGGAAAGAAAAATAAGCTCTCTCATCGGAATTGCACGCTTGCCTTTTTGGCAAAGGTTGGCTCAAATATACCCGTAACTAGATATTTCAGTAGTCACACACAGCAGCGACTAAATCATCCCCATTCTGTGATAGGCACCCCGCTTTCACAGTGGCTTTAGGACAGCCCAGAAACATGGATTTCTACAGGCTTTTTTGGTCACTAATTAGACACACAACACTTCCAAAGCTATCATACAGTACGTTTCTACCTGCCAAATGCCTGTGAGACTGCAGTTGTGCCCAAACTGGTAGAGGCATGAGCTGTAAGCTTTCACTGGTTTTCACAGACCACAGTGCCATTATCTCCCTGCCTCTTAATGCATATTTCCTTGGGCACGTTCTCCCGTGCTGCTCTCTCATGGAAACAGTGTCTCACAGCTGGCTTAAGACTCCAGGACCAGACTGACTCTCGTGAGAAGCATTTAGCGTAAATTGACCCTTTCCCCAAATTTCAAGTTGGTGTTTAAATCTTGCCTCTCCCTGTATTAATGATGTAAATTCAAATAATTAATAGATGAAATTAATTGCCCTTTTCAGTAGCTAGCAAGCAGATCAGAACACAATAAGGAAAGAGCTACAGACATTTCTCTACCTCATTTTTTCAGTCACTGAACATCCTTGGTAATTCATTCAGGATTAAATCCAGCATCCTGCCTGGGCATGGCTTCTCCTCCACACTATGGAATTTCCTCCTCTTCTCTGCAGTCACTCCCCTTACTTCAACTATTAAAATGCTCTGTTCTAGCTCTGCAACAGCACATTGCTATGTTCCTCTCTCAGGAATGTCAACTTAAAGGCTTTGTTTCACCATTTCCAGTTCTCTCTTTCGGATGAGTGACTAAGCTCCCCCTACAATATGATTGGTTCTCCGTGGCGACCAAGGCCAGATGAATGCACAGATTTCCTGAAAAATACATGCATGCATTTTCCCTTACTTGGTAGGTATCTCTGTGAAATAAGAGCAAAGTTTTAAGTGAACCTCACTTGATAGCCTCTGAAAAGTCAAGGTTTCTTTGACCACCTTCCCTAGTTTGGTCATTCAGCTAACATCCACAGAAGAACAAAAGAGAGGAAATAAGCAGAGAGAAGAGAGAGGGGAAATGCTCATGAACTGGCCTGCTGTGAGGCAAAGCAGAGCTCAAACTTGTTGGCCTGCCACCACTGTCCGCTGCTTGTACTAGGAGCCAACAGTTAGTCCAAGAACTCATGTCTACAGAAACAGATGGAGAAAGTGAAAGGGCAAGAGAGGAAGAAATAATCAGAACTGCAGTTCTCCATAGGAATGGGGGAGCAGAGTTGAAGAGCTTCACAACAAGCTTTTGGAAGAAGTCAGATCCTTGCATGAAAGGTGTGCTTTAGCTGGGGGACATGGGGAGAAAACAGGAAATCTCATTTCCTCTGTGAAATTTACTGAGAGCCAGATCTAACTGTTCTTCATACTGTGAAAGTTCAAAAGAATTGCTACTGCCTTACATTTTCCTGTATTTAAGAAATTTCAGTTTATAGGGAAACATTAATTATTTGTCTTTGCAACCACGTTGCAAATCAGGAATCATCTGAATAAAGCAAGCCAGTCTATTTCTGTATTTTGTAAAAAGAAATATTTAAAATACGCTCAGGGGACAAAGAGAATGCTATTTTTACAAGTCCTTTTGGCCCCCTGTCTGTGCATAAGCTTAGCCCTGTGAATTATTAGTAAGTATTTTCATCAATAATAATGTACACAGCTTTTGTGCTACGGAAACACACAGAAGGCTGCAATTCTGGCTTTTGCACTTGGCCAAGCTATACTGCAGAAAACTCATTTAGCATCACAGAACTATTCTGGCTAAGATCCTGAGTTGCTCAGGGCTGCAGAATTCTTTACAATTCCCATCTCGTTTGCCTATGGAACAGTAATTAATGATTAGCAGAGAAAACAGCATTTGCATTTTTGTTGACAGAAGCTGTTTCAGTTTTCAGAGTTAAACCATCTTAGAGATGCAGTAACGGCAGAATATATCCGGATTTGTATGCACTCTCATTTCAAAACAGATTTCAGACGAAGCTACTGTCCCTAATACACAAATTTAATGCACAGGCTGGGGTTCTGGCTTCTCTTGTACCCGCAGTAAAACGTTATTCTTTATTTCATCCATGAAGCTGTGCATCACACAAGATTCAGCCAAGACTGCCAGCCAAGCAAGGCTTGGAAGAGTAGACCAGTATAAGTAATCATTTTTTCTGCCAGAAGATCCAACTGTTAGTAAAGGTAACTATGTCTGTCAGCTAGCTCTCGAGCCACTGCAGTGCATTGTGCCTAGGCTGAGAAGAGGCTCATTGCAAATTGGAGATAATCCTTACTACACAAGGGAGTGAAGGCAAAGAAAAGGAAGCAGCAATCTGATCATTTGAGCAAGAAAGCGCCTTCTTTTAATCCAAGAACAAAGCAGGCAACATCACAGTTAAGTAAACATGCTACAAGAATACAGACTTAATTCCTGAGAAATCTATTGGCAATACTGCAATTCACAACTTGGATCTATTTGGAGATATTCTTATAGGGCTCCCAGAAGGACTATTTAAAAATGTCTGTTGTTTGGCAAAACTCCAGAGATCAAAAATGTTCCTCACCGCAAGTATATTTATAAATCCCAGGGTGAGTTATCCATGGCAGCACTAATTCAGCAGTATCCACAATAAAAATGCTTCCAAATTTACGTTTAATCTTCTAACAGAATCCAGACTTCCAGAAGCCCTCATCCCCCTCTATCCCATTTCCTGTATGTGTGAAACCACCTCACACATTTATCAACTTAGTCTACTGGTAGCTAAATGTCATCACACACACACACACACACACAGAGATTGAGAAGGCAGAAAAAAAATCACACATTTGGGTGGGGGGATAAAATTCCTAGTTAAACAGATACGCGCTGAATATATGGAATCTCCCATTTAAATATTTAACTTACATCCATCCTGAGTACCTGAACTTCCTTCCTGCTTGTCTTACCCGGAATGGTGTGTTGATTCGGCTGGTAAGCGTATCTAGGATATGCACATTCTCATGTCGGTGCAACAAAATGAAACGGAGGAAAATCTTGAGGAGGGCTGGCTCTGAAACACTACGCAAAAAGAGATCCAGGTATGCAGTAGTAGTCATCACTTCTTCCACAGTCACCTGAAAGCAAAACCAATGTAAATGCAAACATACTGCACACACAAAATATCCATCCGCCCTCTGCAACCGTAGACCTGGCAAGCACTCTAAGCTCTCCATATAGAACACTGCCACAAAAACACAGAGTCTTTGCTTTTCAGTTTGCAGAGTGTGCTTCTGAATGACTCATAAGCATTTTGAACCCATTTCTTATCTGCCTTGCTTCCCCACGAAACGAAACCCTGCCCCAAACTGACACCCCAAATCTCACACATACTGAAATACAAAGAGCCAAATCGTACTAGAAGCTCCCCACCACCTTTCCACCCATGGCAGCTGTTTTGCATCACACTTGTCATCCTTCAGAAGTGTTTTCAGATGTTGTGAATACCTGCATCTACCACTTTATTAAAAATAAATGTCAGAGCGCAACCAAAGCACAATACAAACTCATGGCTCCAGAGACTTAAAGAAAAAATCCCCATAGTGATCCAGAATTTTGCCACAATTTCCCTTCTCCTTACCTTTCCAAAGCACAATTCTTCATCTTATTCGGTTTTTAAAAGGAGTATGTATATACATACATACACACACAGATAAACCAAACCCCAAAATCTTCGCTACCATTTGGATATCAAAATACAATTCAAATATTCGTGCTACATTTGCATACCATAACCCACACTGCTCTGCATATTGCAATCCTGTGGAGCTTATGTATTCACAGTATACACTGGCAAGGCATAGAAAATTCCAAAGGCCACTTCTGCACCACGTACTGCTGTTGCAAAGTCAGCTTTTTAAAAACAGTTACCCAGGAACTTAAGAAGCTTAAGTGCACAAAGATAAACCCTTAAATACAAGAATCTGCCTATATGAAAGAAAGTATTAAACATCTTTTGTTTACCAAACGTAGCTGGATAAATGAAAATACTGATTTTATTAAAAAAAAAAAAAAAAAAGAATCAAAGCTGCCACTTAAGAGCTAAGAGGATTTAGGAAGTACTCAGAAGGGCAACATTTACGTAACATACCGTAAATATTAAAATCCCTGTTCCATTATGCTGCATGTTAGCCATGTACACAGTAACGTCATGCTGCAAATGTTCTCTTTAAAGCATTTAAGATCACAAGCTTCTTCTGGCTGGTTACAAAGAACATAGGAATGCTGTATGCAGCCTGCAGACCTTATGGAGAGGGGGCACCAATGAGGAGAGCAGAGAGAAGCTCTAGGTTAAGGTCACTGATTCACTCTCGTTCTGAGGCTTTATTCTAATACTCAGCTACACCACCCTGAAAGCAGTGGGCTAATGCTTTGGCATTAGAAACAAAGCACCAGTGAAGTAACAACAGTCAAATTTTTCACCAGGATGGGAAAATAAGTTCACCTTCTTGGTTTATTGCAGTAAGGTTGGTCAAAACCAAGCGTTACAATATAACAAGGAAAGCAAAGGAATGAGGCACACTTTCACACGAGCTGTGAACTTTGTAAGGCTAAATAAGGAACAGCTAGACATATTTTCTTGATCTGTAGTTGTATGTTCAGTGCTATCAAAACCACAAATGAGAATACGGTTCTTTCACAGAAATAATATCTATTAACTTATACTTGAACTCAGAATACAGTTTATTAATTAGTTCCTCCTTCCCCCACAAGCATCAACCGAAAAAAAAAAAAAAATAATAAGTTAGTGGGTTAAGCACCCCAAAGTTACAAATTGCCAGAATTAGCACTGTGGCTACAGCCCTAACTCAAATTCTGTATTACTGTAAATATGATAAAACAAATGTGGTTATGCACATACATACACTTTTCCATAGGACTACTGCCACATTCCAACCACTAAAAAACCTGCTCAGAAAATGAGCCAGGGTTGTGAAACAAAGAAAATTGTTTCCGGTTGGAGCAGACATTCTTCTTTTTATTTTGCAATAGCCAAAAGGTACGGGAACTTGTGGGATATAAAATAATGGCTTTCTGATGAAAGCTGTTGACTGTTGCCCTGAGAACTGGCTTTTTTGTTTTGTTGTTTTATAGCAGCAAGATGTAGAAAGCAAAGCCCAAGAAATCCATCATGTGACATCATTATGATAGCATACAGTTCATCGAAGAGTTTAAACCCTCTGCCAAGGAAAGGGCAGACAGAAGTAATACATCGTTATGTCTCTGTGTCACTTCTCCCTCATCCTTTATGAGGAAAAAGAGGCACGTTCTTGGCCTGCAGGTTTCACAGATGTTTGCTGACAGCTGAGGAACGGGCCTATGTATATGTATAAAATACCAAAAACTGTAAATGAAAGCAAGAAAAGCCAGCAGATTCACAAGGGCAGTGACCTTTTCTGAAACCGATGCTCTTTGGACAACTCATCCTGCATTCCCATCAGTGAGAGAAACCCATGTGCTCTTCAGAGTGCGCGTCATGAATGAAACAAAGAGCCGGAGAAAGCCAGCTAGAGAGTACTTTAGAAATATTCAATTCTGAGAGGATGTTCAGTGCTCCTAACAGCTTGGGGACTAGACAAAAAAAGAAATCATGTTTACCGTAGCCAACACTTCACTGATACCACAGAAGAGAGCTGGAACTAACCAATGATTAATGAAGCCCAAAGAGTTCACAAAGGAATTGCTTATAGCCCTGTTAAATTCTAATTGTGTGAATTAAGGATTTTGTGCAGGGTGCCACTTTACACTTAATTTTTAGTTCTTCTTGGGAAAAAAGTTGCTGAATCTGCTTAAACATTTTCTGAGAAAGAGGGAAGAAGTCTAAGTTTTATCAAGATTTAAATAGCTTTGTAAGAATTTTTATTTTTCAGTGAAAATGCACTGCCTCATCTACAACACTCCTTCAAACTTTCACAATAAATAAAGCAAGGATCCATTTCTCATCTCACTGTGCAACACTCAAAGCAGGCAAGTTAGCAGCGCACAAGCGGTATTATGCTATATCGTGCTCTAGAAGTTCCAGTGTCCTCTCAGCGCGCCTGTCTGTGCAACTCGTCTGCACAAACCAGTACAGAGACCATCCTTCTGCTTCCTCACATGAGCAAATCAACCAAAGATACTGCTTTTCAGCATTTGAAACGAAAGTCACATATGCAGCTTAGGAACAAGACCAATTAACCCGGCAAGCAGGCATCTGTGCTTTTACAATTATATCTTATTTTGCTAACTTGCATTCTGGGTTTGCTTCTCCCTTTTATCGTTCGTGATGGTAAGTGTAACCTCTGAAGATTTGAGGCACCTAGAGAAGTATTCAAAAAGGCTAATTTTAGCTCCATGAGGCTAATTTTCCTTTTACTCGATAGGATATATTAGCCTGCTCTGAATGAGCCTCTAGAGAACTCACTTTTTTTTGCAATTAACTAGAGAAGGACGTTGGAGAAATCAGTTACTACCCAGCCTTGGCAACCACCCTTTAACTCTACACCTCTTCTACAGATCACATTACACATAATACATTGACTGTTGAAAGTGAAACTCATTCCATTTGTGCAGTTATTATTGAAGATCTCTGTTTTCTAAGATACCAAAGCCACACTATTAAGCTTCATTCCGACTACCTGCTGGTTGTTTCTTCTTAAGCTAACATCTCATGAGACCAGTTTGGGGAAAACAGGGAAATCCTTTCTCATCAATTCAAATTAGGACTTAGGTAAACAACAAAAGAACAAATGTTCCCAGAGAACAAAACATTTCCTACTCATGTCAAGCATGTCCACTACAGTCAAATCCTGAGGCAGCTTAAAAAAACTTCATATCATTGTAAACATTGATTACAGTATAATTTGTCCAAGTAAGCTTTTAGCTAGCTCTCAGAATTGAACTTCTTTGAAAGAACGATAAAAAACAAGTCAAAACTTACACACATCCACAAATTTGATATTTAATCTGAAAATTTTTCACCTCCGATAATTCAAATATAAAGAAAAATACCGTAACAAAGGGAGATGAATAAAATTAAGACATGGTTGTTTTCTAGAAAAGCCCTTTGTTAAGTAAGTAAATTTCAAGCTATGTTTTTGATAAAGGTATTTCAACAATATTAAAATCCACCACTGCCACGACAGCAAAAATAAAAACCTACCAGCAGCATCCCCTGCATTAAATCCTTTCTACTAATGGTAAAGACCAGGGATATCTTTGCTCCTAAAATAAAATTGTAGGATTGAAAATGAAAAATGAGAAAAATCCATATCCATATCCATTCCATTAATCAGACCGGCATTCTACCATTTTTACTTTCATTATCCACAGCTGTAACAATTGAAAGTTGCTGGATTTTTTTTTTTTTCTTCAATATACATATAAATTTAAAAGTGTCTATCTAAAGATACCATTTTAAAAAAGCATCCACGTGGTTTTCTACACAACAATCAGTTGTTACAGTTATTTTTTAAGTTGTAATCTGCTACAGAAGGGACCACCCAAGTCTTCATAGCCAGACAGATATTTGATTAGAGATTATTGAAACGCAAAAGCCACTTTTAGCCTTGTAATATCCTTCCCTAATTATGTCATAATTTTTAGCAAATCTTTTCTTGCCTCCTCTGATGACTGATTAGATGGTGAGGCAGAACACCATAAAGAGATCCAGCTTTTACAAGTCACTGTGCCAAATAATAGCAAAGAGCCAGAAATTACTGTCATTGCGAGTTCAGTTTAATATATTACACTCACTGCGTTAGACCAATTGCACTGATTCTTTATTACTGTCTATTTTCCCTTGGGATCCACACAGTATATTTTCTAATTTACAGCTTCATGCCCTCTTACAGGAATATGGCTATCACGATTCCTCCTTTCCTTTGCATTTTCTTTCCTACAAGGATTTCACATTACTCATGAAGAGACCATGAATATTCTCATTAGAACTTACCCTCTAGATCCACAAGCAGTTTAAACCTGAATAAGCCACCTCACCGATAAAAAAACTCCAACCATCTCCCCCACTCTCTTCTCCTCCCTATTGATTTTCAACTTCCTGGCCCCTGATTACACTGGCAGAAGGGTTCATGCTTCA